GAAGAGAGGCAGGTGCTGGGCCTTCCTGGGAGTCTCTGAATGAGGTGTCCTGTGAGGGGTACCGACAGGGGAGGGGGCCAGGAGAGGAGCGATGGCAGGCCTGGGGTGGGGGAGGTAGAGGTGGCAGGCGACCCAGGTGCCAGCCCAGGGTGGACCTAGGAAGGAATGCAAGTTCCCTCATCTAGGGAACAGTTCTGTGTGAAGTGATGACAGGCTCTGTCCAGCAACTACTGAGACTGTAGCTGCAGCCTCCCTGCCCTGCTGCCTGGAATGTGAGATCCAGCCTGAAGGTAGACACCACGTTTTATTGCTGTCACCTCCCCGGTAGCCCGTGGACCAGGGTCTGGCACAGAGTGGGAACTGTGTTCCTGCTGTTCTTTACATGAGTAAGTAAACAAGAAAAATAACATGATCCCCTTCTATGCTACACTTGTTAGCTCTGGTCAATTTCATTTCCACGTGTTAATTTCATTTTGGAACTTTGGGCTCAGATGTTGGGTTCAAATTCTGGCCTTGCCTCTGCCTCTTATTAGCTGTGTGATCTTGATTAAGCAAGTTACTCAACATCCCTGAGCCTCTGTTTCCCTATCTTTAAAACTGGGATACTCACAATGATTTCTGCCACCTAAGGCAGGGGTGTCAAATTCATTTTCACTGGGGGTCACATCAGCCTCGTGGTTGCCTTCAAAGGGCTGAATGTAATTTCAACTCCTCAACAGTTAAGTAGTTACATTTATACGGTCCTAAAGTTATTTCAGCCCTTTGAAGGCAACCTCGAGGCTGATGTGGCCCCCGGTGACAATGAGTTTGACCCCTCTGCCCTAAGGTTATCATGAGAATGAAGCAATATGGCACGGCACGAAGTGTGGCACACAGTGAGTGGTCAGGAGATGGCAGCAGCTAATACATCTGCAACCCTCTCGGCTGCGGGACTTCCCGTCACCTTGACTCTGCAGGGCGTTCACCTCGCAGAGCTTGTCCCCATCCCCAGACTCTGCGCTGTCCCATTGGGTCCTCAGAGCAGCCCCGGGAAGCAGGGTAGATGACACTCGCTCCACTTGACAGAGAACGCTAAGCTCGGGGGAGAGGCTTCTTGAAGACCACACACAGTGGCCAAGCTGAGGTCAGAATCCAGATGTCCGCACTCCAGTGCCTGTACTCTTCCTCCCTCCGGGGTCAGAGTGCAGGACAGTCTTGTCTTGTTGTCTCTCAGGTCTGCTGGGCTGGAGCCGGGGGGCTGCAGTGGGAGAGGTGGAGAGCTCTGGGGATGCTTCGGTCCAGATGTGGGAGGCGAGGAGCTGAGGTTATTGCTGTCTGTTCACCCCCTGCCCCACTCGCAGCTTCCTGCTCACAGGCTCTTCCTGTTTTGCTGCGAACTTCAGTTCCCACGGGCCCCACATTAAAGCAGAGAACAGGGGGCCAGGGCAGGCAGCCAGAGGGACCAGGGAAACAGTGGACAGCTGGGGGCGGGGGGACTGGATGGAAGAACAGGGAAAGCAGAAATAGAACAGGAGCTTGGTGAAAGATGGGAGGAAGCACAGGGTGGGGCAGGGGAAACGGGCGGGGGTGGGGAGTAGAGGCATGAATCGACAGCAGGCTGCGCGGTGTTGCAAAATCTGCCCATGTCCCCTTTTTCACATCTCAGAAAGCCCCTCCGACACCCCCACCTCTACACTTCTGTCTCTAGCTTTTGCTCTTGTTCCCTCTCATCACAAGGTCACCCCTCACGAGGGCCCCGCCCTGGTCTGGGCATCTCTGAGTCAGGAGCACAAGGCTCTCCATGCCTTTTGCACGCGTCCCCTCCGATTTTCACAGGGCCCCAGCTGTCCTGGGAGAGTGGAGACCAGGACTCCAGCTCCTGGAAAACTAGAGCTGTTCTGTCTCGGCACCCACATTGTCCACCCAGCTCCCTCCTCTGCCTTTCCCCCTCCCAGCAGCTCCTGCAGAGGTCACAGAAACACCTGCTTGCAAGGACCTCGGGGCGGGCGGAACACTGGTCTGGGGCCTGATGCCTTATCTTCTGGGAGCTGGGAAAAGCCTCTCTCTTCCACTCCCGACCCTCGGCTCCCTAGTCTCCCCGGGGCCCAGGACCACACACAAGCCCCGTCTGGAGCCTTCTGACCCAGGTCAGAGCCACTTGCTGAACATGTATAGTTCAGGGCACCATCTCCCACGCCAGGGAAAGAGCCTCAACCTAAACTCAAGGAGGAAACACTGCCAGTGTTGCACTGACAGAGCGCCCTTATTCAGTTTACAGGGGTTCAGGAGCCCCCTGTAACTGGGCGAAGACCAACACCTGTTGGCAATATCTGCACAGAGTTTCCAGTGGCTGACCACTGGGCTTTTTCTTCCCCAAGCCAGGGCATGTAGTCAGGTGATCATCAGCTGGAACCACACGTCCTGCTTTGCCAGCTCCATGCCCACAGCAGACGTTAGATGCCAGGCCTCCCAGTCCCATGGGGCCTTTCCTGTGTCTCCATGGCTCCTAGAGGAGGCACCGTGCCTGCGAACACCTTCGGCAATCTTCGAAGTCACCTTTCTGACCCCCAGAACCTCTGAAGGTTTCTCACTGCAAATGGGGAACTTCGAAGCAAAAATAAAAGCATTCACCAGCCCACAGTCCTAGGCGCTACGGGATAACTTCCCTGAGAGCGCTCCAACTCCCGTGACGTTGGCCACCAAGTGCAGTTTACAGGGATGGACTAGGACAGCTCCTTCTCGCTCTCTTGCAGGTCCCTCAAATGGCTTCGGCCTAACCTCCCAATCACAAGATAGAGAAGAATCCAGGAATTCCTGCTTTCCGGACTGATGATACAGAAGACAGATAACACTTAGGCATTACTACATGTATTATTTATCCTCAGATATAGCCTAGGAGATAGTTACTAGTAAGGGGGTCAGTATCAGATTTGGATACAGGTGTGGCTGACTCAGACAAACAAACAAACAAACAAACAAACCCGCCTCACTCCGTCATGCAATTTCCAGGCGGGGAAAATGAAGGTTTATTTCTGCCAGCACGGGGAAGAGCAGGCCTCACGTTCGGAGATTCTGACTAATGTCTGGGATGGCCTATGTATCTACCTATCAACAAGTCTTTTGTTTTTCCCGTCTATAGTTAGGAACCAAGGTGTGGGAACCACAGAATCCTCCAGCACAAAATATGCAGAAGTTGGGGGTCCAGAAACCAGGGCTCAGCGATTGGCTCTACTGTGTACTTGTTGTGTGACCCTCACTCTTCCTGGATTTGTTTTTCACTATAAAAACTGTCTGTTCCATCAGCCCCTCCTAACTCGGGATGCATGCAGGCACGAAGGATACAGACATACGCAAGCAAGTGAGAAGAAAAGCAAAAGATGAATGGGAGGGATTCCCCTCCTACTTGCCAAAAGTCAGTGAGCCCAAGATTTACATTCCGAAATAACGATGGTCTGGCTAGTTTGCAAGGAGGATAGAGGCATATTAAAATAAAACACTCAAAAACTCTAATACACAGATTCTCACCAGTTAGTGGTGCCCATTCAACCTCACCCATGTGAAAAGGTTTCCTTTGTTATGAATGAATCTCTTTATTGAAGGTATTTTGGGACCATCAAATACAGTTTAGCAATGTAGTTTGAGCAGCCTGCAAGAAACATTCTACTATAGACTACTTAACTAGAAATCAGGAAACTTGAGTTTTCATTCATTCTCCTAAACTATGTGAACTGTTGGATCAAGAATTCAAAGAGGCAGATTTATGAAGCCTATGGGTGGCCTTCATGAGCCATTTGGCATTATATGTCCACGAAATTCCACTTGTGGGCATTTTCTGGGGAGAGGACTAAAATTTCACCTGACTCCTAAAGGAACTTGTGACTAAATAAGAAGGTTAAGAACTACTTGGTGGACTACTTAGCTCTCAGGACTTCAGCTCTTATTTTCTATTCACTACTCCCCAACAACTCCGGAAGCAAAGTTTAGATCCTGAGGCGTATATAAATAATTGAATCCGGGGTCCTAAGGCAAGATAATGACCCTCCCTTCTACCATATACAATAGTTCTGATCAGGTTTTATTTCTGTGATGACCTGAGGTGGTTTGCTCCTAGTAGGTAGATTGAGTAGAAGCATCCCAAGGTCCTATGATCTGGCTTTCTAAGGTCGTGAGTCACTCCAACCTCAATCACAAAGCCTTGAGACTAAATTGGCTGCATCTGGACCCTATGCGCCAATGCCAAGGGCCTCTGATTCTGTGAAAACCCCACCTACTCCCACTTCTTCCTGTATATCTTCCCACTGGTCCGAAACGCCTCCCTTAGGGATTCACTGCTTTGGATTTGCGAACTCTGAACATCCTGTGCAACCCAACTCCTTCGGGAAGAGGCATGACATTCTGATTCTAATGAACTAAAACTGGGACTGGTGGGAGGGCAGGGAAACGACTGCAAGAGGAAGTGAGAAGGGTCCTGAGCTTTGCTCAGGGCATGAGCAGTGGGACAGACTGGCCAACCTCAAGGACACAGGGAGTCCAAAGGGTTGTTTACACGCTGTGCCCTGCACCCCAAGCAAGACCTCTTCCGGGGCAGAGAACCAGGGCCAAGGCTCAAATTCCATCTGAAGGCAGGAGTGTGTAGAAGGGGCGCCCTATACCGCCCCTCGCCCCAATTATGCACCCGCTCTGGCTCTACGGTCAGACCCAGCAGCAGCACCCCCGCCGGGGGCGCTTCCGGACACAGTCCGGCCCAGGGTTACGCCACCTTGGCACGGGGTATCGCCGGCCGAAGCAAACCCGAGCTCAGGGCTCTCTTTACCCAGACAAAGTCTTCAAGCCCTTTCTGCCGCGCGAGGTCACGCTACATTCCCACGCTCCTCCGCCACAGCCGGATCCCGAGTCCCCTACAAATATTCCCTTCTAGGTTCCTCCTTCTCAAACCATTCCAACCTTCCTTTAGCAAGATGGTGGCGACTGCACTTCCGGCGTGTGTCCTTAAGGGTGCGTCCGAGCGGCTGCTGTAGGTGCCGCTCAACGGGTTCCACCCTCTTTGCAGCCGAGACTATAACGGTGATGGCGGGCGGACAGTTTGGCTGGATCTGGGCGGCTCTTCTCCAGCTCCTTCTTGGCGTAAACCTGATGCCTCCTACCGAGGCCCGGACTCTGCGCTTCGTTACCTTGGTAATGAGAGGTGGGGTCGCCAAAGGGCTCTCACCAGAGCTGGAAGGGCACAGACTTGCTGGGAGAGGGAGGGGGCGGGGCTTGTGCTGGGTTCGGGGATCTGGAGGAGAGGCTGCTTTAGGAGGAGACGACTGGTCTGCGGGTTTGGGGTCGCAGGGTTGGGAGCCCGGGGGTATTGGCTAGGGAGTAAGGTGTAAGAAGTTCTCTATCGGGGTGGGGGGTTGGATGAGTCTGCCCTGGGACAGAGTTGTGATAGAATGGTTAAGAGACCCACCCCGACAGAAGTCTTTGGTGATCTTTTTTCCAGTCACTCCACCATCCGCCTTGCTTTTGTCTCTTTTCTTTTCCCATCTGAAGTTTTGGCTTTGCCTGTAATCTCCTGGGTCATTGCTTAGCCAAGTTAGACTCTCTGGAACCTAGAAGAAGTTACTGCTTTCTGAATTGGGGTCTTTGCACTGGGTAGAGTTAAGGCTTCCCAGGAGGAGTGAGGCTTTCCTCCCCAACATGGGGCAGAGGTGGTCTCTGTGTCCCCATCAAGGAGACCCTTCTGACACTTAGGCAAACTATTTTCTTTCTTTAGCTGTACCGACATGGAGACCGGTCACCAGTGAAGACATATCCCAAGGACCCCTATCAGGAAGATGAATGGCCCCAAGGGTTTGGTCAGCTAACCACGGTGCGTCAGAAGCCAGCTTTTCCTCAGTATGAGCTTCAAAATGAGTGATCTTAAGAGCAGGCAATGGAACTTGGGGCCCCAGCAAACTACTGTGTCCATTGTGGGTGCTGACTTTGACCAGATTTCTTAACCTTACTTTTCTCTATGCCCAAGACAATGCCATGTGCAACTGGCTACTTAATAAATGACTTCTGGGATCCCATTAATGCACTCCTACTTCCAGTCATGGGTAAACTCGGAAAGCAACAGTGCCTAAGCCCTGTGGGGCTTGTGAGCCATCCCTAACCCTTGGGTTTGCCCACAGGAGGGGATGCTACAGCACTGGGAGCTGGGCCAGGCCCTGCGGCAGCGCTACAGTGACTTTCTCAGCACCTCTTACCACCCGCAAGAGGTAAGGTTGGGAGCTCAAGATGCAAGGGGAACAGAATCAGCTGTCCTCACCCTCTGTCCTCAGGGAGTCTAAAGCTGGGCACTCTGGCCTCCCTCCGTGCACTTTTGGTTACAGCTACAGGATAGGACATCTAAAGGCCGTCTAAGAAGGATGCCCTAGAAGCTGTGTTGCTCCTGCTTGGCTGGGAAGAGGCAAAACTTATCAAGCATCCAAGCTTAGACTTAAGGAAGGATCTGGCAGAGTAGTTTCTGGCTCTGTGAAATAACTCAGGCTTTCCCGTCAAGACACTTATTGAATACCTACTATGGGCCAAGCGTTATGCTAGCACTTTGCACATAATGCTGCACCACACAGATATGATCTCTGTCTTTGTGGAGCTTAGAATATAGTGGAGGTGACAGTTTAGCCACACAGGACCAAGAGGTGAAGGGAGCAGGAAGACAGAGAGGGCATGTCAGGGAAGATTGGCAAATGTTTCAGCTCTTTGAGGCCCTCTCCCCACCCCACGGATGGGGATAGCTCTTCTCTGATTACCACTCTCAGCCACAGCTGTCTCAGGAGTCTCTAGATGTTCTTATTGTTCCACTGAGGGCCAGCTCCGTCCTGATCTTGCCCTTCCCCACAGCTTTCTCCTCCTCCTTCCACAAGCAATGGTCTCTGTTCTTTATCTTATTTCCTCTCCTTGGTTTCCAGGCCAGTTTATGAAAGGGAGTGTGAATGGAGATAGTTTCTGCCTACAAGGATCCTGACCTCGAGAGGCAGGTGTTATAAAACTAGACCAACAGATGGAACACAGAGCCTTACTGTGTCAGCCCTAAGACTGGGAGGGGCATCTGAACTAGAGCCATTCCCACAGGAGCCATTCTCCAAGTGGTGACCCCTGGCTCCCCAGCTGAGTGTTTGGGCCTTTGCTGGGAAGGACTGGGAAGGCCAGAGAGGGAGCAAACGCCAGATGCACGGTGAGATTACAATTTGCTAGGCAGACATCAAGAACAGGTTCTTCCCCTAGGGCCCCACAGAGGAGCCAAAGCTCCCCACTCCACCCCCACAAGGGAGACTCATGTTGTCAATACTGCAGGTTTATGTGCGAAGCACCGACTTCGACCGTACTCTCATGAGTGCTGAGGCCAACCTGGCTGGACTCTTCCCTCCCAGTGGGATACAACGCTTCAACCCAAATATCTCTTGGCAGCCTATTCCTGTCCACACTGTGCCCATCGCCGAGGACAGGGTGAGACTGGCCAGCCCTTCCCTGAAGGTGGTGAGAGGGACAGCTCTGGCCATGGGCCTGCTGATCACTGACTCCCTCTCTGGCTCTGCTTCCCCCTTTTGGTCTGCAGCTGCTGAAGTTCCCATTGGGCCCATGTCCCCGTTACGAGCAGCTGCAGAACGAGACCCGGCAGACACCTGAGTATAAGAATGAGAGTATTCAGAATGCAGTGAGTGGGGCTGAGGTGGAGGTCATCACGCTGCCATTTATACCAGGGCAGGACTGATCCCCTGACCCCTTTTTCATAGCAATTTCTGGATATGGTGGCCAACGAGACAGGGCTCACGGACCTGACACTGGAGAACATCTGGAACGTCTATGACACACTCTTCTGTGAGGTGAGCCCGCTCAGGAGTGCGACCACTGTCCTCTTGCACTCTGCAGGCCTAGGCGACCACAGTGCCTGGTGACCACTGCCTCTGGGGAGGTCCAGGCAAGCCACGCCACCTGCTTCTTGTGCAACAAGGGAACTTCCCTCAAGGGTGGAAAAGAACCCCAGAGTGGGAAATCGTTTATTAGTTGTCAGCAGTTCTTGCCCCTCCCCACCCAGAGCTCGGGTGGTGTCCGACTCCATTCTGCTGAGTCACGCTTTTTGTGCTCGAGCCTCCTTTCCCGTGCCCTGCAGCCTCAACGCTGTCCGCCATGTCTCCTGGTTTCAGTCCCTCTGCCTCTCCTCTCCCTCCCCTCACACACACAGGCACCTTCTCACAGGAGAAGAGAGACGCCCCTGGAGAGGCTCCGGCCTAGGCCAGGGGAGCTAACCTGCCCGCTGCGATACACAGAAAACACATGGGCTGGTCCTGCCACCTTGGGCCTCACCCCAAATCATGCAGCGCCTGAGCCAGCTGAAGGAGTTCAGCTTCCGCTTCCTCTTCGGGATCTACGGGCAGGAAGAGAAGGCCCGGCTTCAGGGGGGTGAGTGGCAAGAGCAGCATGTCACTCCCTTCCTCAGGACACTACAGCATCAAAAATCTGCTCCTGGGGGCTTCTCACACACTTACTTCTCCATCTAAATGTTCTCTGCTCTTTCAGAACCCCTTAGACACCCCCCCCCCCAGTCTTCCCATCAGTCACCAAAGTCTCTGTAATCTGCCAGATGCTTAGCCTGTCTGTCACTGTGAATGACCACAACCGGGTTCGCATGCTGCTTGTCTGCCGTTCGCGTTCTTACGTTTCACTCCGCTTCACTGTCAGAAGACCCTTCTCCCTCAAGCGAATACCGACCTCCAGAGACCCACTGGGGACCACTGTGAAAGAAGGCCGCCAGCCACGGACGGGCCAGTTCCCTGCGTCGAGGGCTGAAGGGAGTGCTGTGGTCAGACCTTCCTGACATCCCAGCGGTTTTCAGAACCTGCAGTGGCAGGGCTCCCTCGCCCTGGAGCCACCGTCTCATGTGTCCTGAAGCAGTCTGAAGTTTATATTTGTTCCAGATTGGAGGAATTCTTCAAACAGGGGCAGGGCCTTGTATCTCATTTATGAAAGGGCTGGTTTCTATGCCTGCCTTGAAATAGAGAGAGCTTGTTTTATCCTTCTTCCCTCCGAAAACCTGACCGTTGTCAGAGCAGATTCCCAAGCACCTAGAGAGTTCTCTCTACTGGTGGTCAGAGCCAGGACTAGCAGAGGGCGAGGGGACCACAGAGAGATCTGGTCGGAAGACAGTGACGGCCGCAGCCCCTGACACTGGGGACTTTTCTCCTTCAGGAGTCCTGCTGGCTCAGATCCGGAAGAACCTGACACTGATGGCCACCTCCACCCACCTCCCCAAGCTGCTGGTTTACTCCACGGTAAGCTCCCACAGTTGCCAGTGCGCCCGCATCAGATGAGGAGCCGGATTTCTTCTCGATTCAGTGCCTGGGGGGTGCGGGGCAGCAGTGCTAATGGGGAGCCCCTCTGCCTTACAGCACGATACCACCCTGGTTGCTCTGCAAATGGCACTGTATGTCTACAGTGGCAAACAAGTCCCTTACGCCTCCTGCCACATATTCGAACTGTACCAGGAAGATAATGGGTGAGTGGAGCCACCAGTTAGCGCTCTGGAGGGGCCCTTGCCTGGTGGCTGTGGGCAGCCTAAGGACTCCGGCACAGGCCTGGTGAGCAGCATCTGTCTTATTTCCCATCAACCCTCAGGAATTTCTCAGTGGAGATGTACTTTCGGAACGAGAGCGACAAGGCCCCCTGGCCGCTGAGCCTGCCTGGCTGCCCTCACCGCTGCCCACTGCAGGACTTCCTTCGCCTCACAGAGCCCGTTGTGCCCAAGGACTGGCAGCAGGAGTGCCAGCTGGCGAGCGGTCCTGCAGACACAGGTGAGCCGCTGCCTGCCTCTGCGCTAGTCACATCCCAGAACAACTTGCAGTTCATACCCATGAGTCTCGAGAGAGCTGCCACGCTCCCAGCCATCTTACTGCATTTCCCTAGACAGCTTACTCCTGCACCCTGAGACCATGTTTCACCTTCTCCCCGATGACGCCCAGCTGATGCCCTCGCTTCTGGTATCACTGGGAAAACAGAAACAGTCGGGAGAGAGCGCTCCCATTTCCCCACCACCACGTCTTCCGGCTTACGTGCTGGGACAAGCTACGGCTGAAGCCCCACCTCTCTCCACTTATACTCAGGGCCATCTGTTCCCACCCCCACAAGGGCCTCCGATGCCTCAGTGTTCCCTCTCTCCTGGATCGGGCCCACCTCACAAGCCCGACAAAGACCTCTCGGACCCCCACCCTTGCCCAGCTACCACTCCGCTTCTCCATTCCCTGTTAGAGCGCGGCCCTTCCCGGTTGCCTGGACTCTGGTTTCACTTCCTCACTGTCCATTCTCTCAGGGTCACACTGGGCAATCTTGTGTCACCTTTCACTCCATTAACTTTTGTTAAGGCCCAGTGACCTCCTCTTACCAAAGCCAGTGACCAGTTCTTAGTCAGCTTCTCTCACCTCTCAGCAGCGTGACCTAGCTGGCCACTCCTTCCTTAAACACTTGCTTGGGTTTGGTTTTTCTCTTAACTTACAGGCGCCTTCCTTACTGGCTTCCTCCCATGACACAGTGGGCAGCCCAGGGCTCATCTTGGCCCTTGTCTCATTGGTGCCAGCTCCCTAAGTGACCTCCTCCAACCTCTCCATGCTCAGTTCTGTCTTCTCAGGACTCGCAGATTCATGACCTTGTCTTTGAGCTGGACTAACATACCCAGCCGGCTGCAGACTTCAGGTCTCTACAGGGATGTGACATCTCAAAGCTGGTGTCTGAAAGCAGACGCTGTTCCCCCTGAAATCTGTGCTGCCTCCAGGCTTCCCCATCTTAGTAAACGCTGCACTAGTCACCTAGTTGCATAATATAATCCCCCACAACCAACCCACTAGGAGAGCCTAGCATCTCCACCTTTGAAATAGATGCTTTTACCTTGAACAGTATTCACTCGCTGTCTGATCTCTCTTTGCTCATTGCATTTACTTCTAAAATGCAGTACCAGCCTGTAAGGTCTACTTGGATTCGGCTCCGGCTGTCTGTAGGAGAGAGAGAGTCAGCTGTTCTCCGTGTAGGCAGGCCAAGCACTCTTGTGACTGGTAGCTGTGTCTTTTGGAGTTAAAAGTTTTCTCATTTGGGGGAAGGCAGCATGACTCTGTGGCTAGAAACCTGGGTAGTATAACTTTGTTAGTTGCTAAGAGTACAGATGCTGTGTCAAACCTTGTTTTTTGTTTGTTTGTTTAATCCTCACCTGAGGATATGTTTATTGATTTTAGAGTGAGAGAAAGGGAGAGAGAGAGAGAAAGCAGAGAGAGACATCGATCGGTTGCCTTCCCGTTTGTGCCCCAACCAGGGATTGAACCCACAACCTTTTGTTGTACAGGACGATGCTCCAACCAACTGAGCCACCTGGCCTGGGCCAGACCTTGTTTTGACTCCTGCCTGGCTTCTTGTCATCAGACATTTAGCAGGTTGTTTAACCTCTTTCAGAACCTTCATTTTATCGATTATAATAAAAACCCTACCTTTAAAAAGATGATCTTGCTCTTTAGTCCAGTCTACCATCATCTCTTGCCTGAACTACTGATAAGCTTCCTAATGTTCTGATTCTCTTCCTGTCCCTACCAGTGTCTCAGTACAGCAGAGTTAATTTCTTGAAAAAGTAAATTGGTTCACATTACTCTCCTTCTCAGAGTCTTCCAGGGACTTCCCATCACATTTGGAATAAAATCCAAGTTCATTACCACTTGGCCTGGTCCTCCACTCTCATCTCCTACTCGCCCCTCACTTTCTTGTGATACTTTCTCGATGATCCTAGAACACGCCGAGCTGTTCCCACAGCAGGGCCTGTTGCGCTTGCTTGCTGTCTCCTGTCCGCCCCCACCACGGGACTCTCTTCTCTCAGATCTTCGTCTCACTGACTCCAGGTCTCGGTTCAAATTATCCTCGGTGGTGCCTTCCCTGACTGACCTACCTCTCCATCTTTTCCCCCTTCCCTTGCTTTGCTTCAAGGTGTTTGTCACTAACTGTGAATATCTCCATTGTTAAGAACAGCCCCTGGGATATGGTAGATAGTCGAATATTTGTTGAATGAATGCTGACATGCCCTTTCTCTTCCTGTCCCCGTGCCCAGAGGTGATCGTGGCCTTGGCTGTATGTGGCTCCATCCTCTTCCTTCTCATAGTGCTGCTACTCACCGTCCTCTTCCGGATGCAGGCCCAGCCTCCTGGCTACCGCCACATTGCCGATGGGGAGGACCACGCCTGACAACCACTCAGCCCCCTTCCCTCTGCCTCCTAGGGGAGGTGGGCTTGGCCCTCATTCTTGACTGTTGCTGCTCCCCAGCCCACGGACAGGAGACCCTGGGTTGGGCCTCCCTCTGATTATCCCAACCTAGATGAACAAGTGGGACCCGGCTTGGCCCGTGGCAGCCGTCCCTCAGTATCCATGTGCCCAATGTTTACGAAGTACTGTGTTGGATACTGGCTCTCTCCAAATAGGATTTGCCTCCTCCATGCTCCCTTAAGGAGTTGGATGTAGATAAGTGGTCAAGTTTCACCTGGGACCTGGGATAAAAAAACTGAAGGAGTTGGTGCTTGATCCGCCTTGCCCGGCCTCCCCAGTCAAGACCTGCTCTCTCTCTTCCAGCCCAGAGTCTTTGGCAAATGGTTCAGAAGACACAGTCTTCCCTTGGTGCCTAGTTTACTGGGGAAAAACTACCTAACTTTGGGGGCACAAACACTGGCCACCAGGGAACCAGATCACCCAGCAGCCAGCCAGTCAAGTTTCCCTTTATCCATCTGCAGCCACCATTAGAGTCAGATATGCTGCCTGAGGCACCTCGGCCACCCCTGTAGCTGGAGTGGGTTGGGAGGGTGTCAGTACTGGGAGGGAGTCGGGGGGAGGTGGGTGGAGAGTGAACTGCAACAGTTGTGAACCTACTGCCCCCTCAGCTGGGCTGGGGTCCCCAGGGATGTGAGGTAAGTGCAGTCTGTAGAGTGGACGACTGTTGACTGTGGCCCACAGACTGAGGAAAATGAAAGTTTTGGACTCTTGGTGCCGTTTCTGTGCCTTTTCTTCACTTGGGAGACCCAGGAGTGCTCTGACCAGGTCCGTGCTGGGAGATCCATCCACTCAGAAGCTTGGTTGGGTATAGTTTTATTGGTCATGTCAGTGAGGGGCACAAATCAAACACCACCACCACCACCTGATCACTCTGCCAGCACATGTCTGAGAGGAGAGAAGTACCTTGGCTCCAGGAGAAGCTTGGTTCCAGGCTAGACATAGCAGGGACCCTGGGGGCAGCTGGGTCGCCAACTCTGGAGAAGTGTCCAGAGCTAAGTCCAGAGCAATAACATGCTAGTGTCCCAGCCCCACAGTGTCCCATGCCACAGCATCCTTGTTCCAACCCTAAGGCTGGGATACCTTTGGCCCTTTAACACACAGCCACCTCTTCCTCCAGGACTTGTTTTCACGTTGCTCGAAGTCCTTGCTTGGAGCACACCTTCATTAACGCCTCTCATTTCTACATCCTTGTTTTCAGCTGGCTCCAAATGAGAATGCGATAACCTAGGAAGAGCGAGATCAGTCTGACTCACCTACTATCAGTCTCTCAGAGCTTGGGGCTGGCCCGGGGAACCTAGAACTAGGCAAGGAAATACCAGGGAATTGGACAGCAGCCAGGCATTGCCGTGACCGAGACAAAGCAAGAGGGGTGGAGTGCCTAGGCTGAAGAGCCCACTGTCTCCTGATTATCTTCTTCACGGACTCCTCCCCTGGGGTGAATGGGGCAGGGCTAAGCTGGGGTTCACTTGCACTGAACCTTGGGGAGCAGGGTCAGGCTTGGCCAGTCTGAGATACAACCTACTTCACTCACCCATCACGGAGGCCAGCGTGTCCCCCATAGGATTGAACTCATTGAGCTGCAGAGACAAGGGTATAAGCATGAGGAGGGCCTGAAGGTATCAAGAGGGCATGCAAGGACTCATTTCTGATCATTTCTGGTCAATGAGGTAGGCTGAATTCCCTGCATCCTCCCATCGTTTGAGGGCCCAAACCTCACCGAACTGATACCAGAAGATTCTGGGTCATAGAGCTGATGCATCAACTTCCCTGAGCTTCCATCAAAGACATCAATTGTTCTTAATTCGTGGCGGGTGCCACTTTTGAAATTAGGATCTGGGTATCTGCCCACAACAATGAGGTTGTACCGAGGATGCCAGGCTGCCTAGGAGATGGAAAGGCTGGTCATGAGAGTAAATGCGGAACATGATCAAAAGGGACTTGAAAAGTATTCGTTGCCACTAACAATTGTTAATACAGTTGTCAACAATTTAATAATGGAGATAAGATCTACACAAATCTACAAGAATAGTTTCCAGTGGTGCATACATCTACCGCTGTAAATTTCAGATCCCCAGCCGGCCCTTGGGACACCTTCAGGCCTTGTCTCTCTTGCATGTGCTGAGGTCATACCAACTGATCAACTTTTTAACATCAGCCTGACCCACACATTAGCCAAAAAGGTGAGCCTACAACAAAGGAAAAAGTCTCTGGTGACCAAAACCAAATAGGGCCTACACAACCCCCCATCTCCTTCATCAACGTGCATGGCAAGAATTGCGTGGAAGGTGGCCCGTGGCTGAAAAGGGAAGGACACCTGTGTTTCCCAGATCACCCCACTGGAAACAGATGTGAACAGTTGTTGGAATGACAGATGGGACGGGACTTTCCTAAGAAACTTCTCAAGGAAGTTATGAAGGAGGAAAGATGGTAAGCAGGAAGGAAGAAGTAGTACATGCAAAGGTGTGGAAGTAAGTCCCAGGTCACACCTGGGAAGCTGTAAGTTGGCTTCACTGGATACGAAGTGAGAGATGGCAACAAATGAGCCCACAGGAGCACGTGAAGGACCTTGAGAGACATGGCTAAGAACTTGGATTTGATTTGAGGCATGTGGGGGCCATTCTAATACTAAATCACCGTTTCCTGAGCGCTTGCCAGGCAGTAGGTGTATGCTTTACATGTATTGATTCAGCCTCACAACAACCCTGCCAGATACCATTACTCCTCTCGTATACACATGGAACTGAAACCCAAAATGGAAGTAATTCGCCCAAGGTTCTAACCCAGAGGGGTCTGCCTGCCTGACGCTGGCGTGCCACACCACTGTGCTGCCCTGACCACAGTGCAGGGCTGGGGTTCTGCAAAGGAATATGAAACAGTAGAGGGGAGGACTGGCAGGGTTCAGACTGCTTAGGGACTTGGGCAGGAAGGAACCTCAGGACTGTAAGCCATGGGGAGTGCGGCTGGAGAAGCTGTTAACAAGAAGCCGGCTAAGGTTAGCTTGCGGATCAACCGTACACCCAGAGAACGAACAGAGGGTCAGGATCTCAGAAAATGCCCTCAGCGAGGAGACCAGGGCTGGGTTGAAAAAACTCAGGAAAACAGCTTATCAGAGAAACAAAACCCAGCAAAACGGGATCGCAGAAGTGGGACAAAAGAAGCAGAGAGGTCCAGGGGACAAGAGACTGCTTTGTGTCAGGGCAGGAAGAGATATGGAAGGAAAGGCCGCTTCTGTCCTCTCTCCACCTTGGGCAGGCCTCCTCTGTTCCCACCCACGGTCACAGTTCTTGACTCTGTCACTCACCTTAATGGGTGTCAGGTGCTGGAAGTGGCGGTGAGGGTGTGGGATCAGGTTTGGGGGGCGGTCCCACTGGGAGGCAGAGTAAACCCGGATCTCACTCTTCTGGTCAGTGGTCAGGAGGCGGACGCCATCGGGACTGAAATGAGCTGGCAAGTGAAAAGCCCCTGAGCTGAAGGCGCCACGGGTCCCCTGCTGTCCCAGCCTTCACAGGCCTTCTCTTGCAGGGACAGCCTCCCTCCCGCTGTTCTCCAGACAGGGGTGGAAGGCAGGAGGTGAATCTGGGCTGTGAGCAAAAATATTCTAGAGACTCCACAGCTGATGGGGGCAGCTAGAGTCAGAAAGGTTCCGAGACATCAGCTTGGCAGATACTGTCAGGGGTAAAGGTGTGACCTAGCGGCTTCTGAACTTGGACTGAAAGCCCTGGAAGGGGAGGGGCAGGCCAGTTCTATAGCAAGGAGGTCTATCCCACCTGAGTTGACAGGATGCCTGTGCGGCAGCGAGTAGAGAAAGCCCGATTTCCCCTTAACCTGGCGCAGGTCCCAGATTTTCACTGTTTGGTCTACAGAGGCTGTGACCAGACACCAATCAGAGCACGGGTTCAGGGCTACATGGGTCACTTTCTTTTTGTGCATTCTCAGATTCCAAAGCTGCAGAGGAAAGCTCGGTTCAGGTGGGGGCAGAGAACAGGGCTGGGGGGAAGGGAGGGGAAGGGAGGCCCCAGGCTCCGGAGAACACACCTCCTTGCCGTCCATGTTCAGCAGGACCACATGCCCCACGTTGTCTCCCGTGACCACCACTCGTCTTTCTGCAGACACATCCAGGCTGCAAAACCAGAAGCTGGAAGGAAAGACTGTGCTGTGAGGTTCTTGGGGACAGAGGCAAGGTCCATTCACCTGTTGTTGTAGGTCCATGGCTAACATATAGACACTCAATAAATATTTGTTGAATGAATGAATAAACTCTCTTGCCACGGGCTCCCAGGGAAGAATGCCTAGACTTGTCTACCACCCAGACAGACCCAGGATGGGGTGATGGGGCTCAAAAATTTGTCGGGCCTGGGGTCCTCAGCTAGTATGAGCCCCTGAAGCAGCCAGAAGTCAGGGCTATAAGGCAAGTCCTCAGGTTAGCTTGCCCCACGCAGCCCTGGGTTCTGAGGAAGACTCCTTTATGATTCTGTCTCTTTGCGCTCCACCTGTGGAGCCAAAGGACATGACAAACCAAACAGGGACTGCCCCGCTCTGTTCCTCAGAGCTGGCTGGAAAGGAACGTCTGCCCCCTTCTGAGCATTTAGGGGAAAAAAGCACACACAACCCAGAGACTTGAGGATGAAGGAGATGGGGAGGGAGGTGCTTCAGGGATCCCGATATCCAACCAGGAGAGCTGAAACCCTCAAGTCCTTGCTACACCGCCTTTTGTGTCCCCTATAAATACCCTCCAGAGGGAGAGTTTCTTGTGGAAGAGAAGCCTAGAGCTGGGTCTGTCCTCACCTGTTCTGATTGCACGCGTATTTCTTACCCCTGCGGGGCAGTCCAGGCCAGCATCCAGTGCTGGTCAGACCCTCACACCCTCAGTTCCTGCGGGAGCAGGGGCATGTCTCTGGCTTGAAATCAAAGCAACACGCACCTTATAGTTTCTACAACCACTTGCTCTTGGGGAGTCCAAAGTGCATTATGGACATGATTTTATCTATTTAAGCTTCCACCATGGAACTGGTCAGGCCATTACACCCCAGCGGATATAGGGAATGAAGTTTAAGTTCTCATCTCCTGCTCCATGCTTTAAGTGGCTAGCTAGGTCAAAGCCATGTTGACTTGTCCAGTGAGAATCAAGGTCTCATGGAATATAGGAATGAAGGACTTACAGGACAGCTGAAGCCCTTCCATTGCTGAGAAGAGCTGAGGCTCCAGAACTCCTCCCCAAATTACCCACCTGGACCAGAGTAAGAGCAGCTAAAGAAAGAGTCTGAGAAGGAGGCAGGAGGATGGAGAGTGGCTCACACCTTTCCTTACTTCCCTGTACCAGGTTTGGGTAAAAGAGGCGGGACCTGGATGCTCTCGCCAGAACTGCACCGAGAGCGTAGAAGCCCTTGCCCCTAGAAGTTAAACTACTCACTTGCAGGTGCCATAGTTGGTATAGACTTGGAGAATGTTGCCTTTAAAGTCTTGCAGCCTAGTCGTTCCCTCCATTGAGGAGATGAAAAACTGGTCGGTGTTGAGAGGGTTAAACTTCAGCCCAGTGATGCTCCCTCCAGCTCCGATCTAACACAGGAAGAAGAAAGCAGGTGAGTGACGGTGGCCCAGGAGGAGGACGAAGTCTAGTGCACACACTCTGCCCCCGAGGAGAACCAGCGGGCAGCACTCGGGCCCACGCCAGTTTACACGCCTAGACCCTATGGCGCTCTCCACTGTGCTC